CTAAAAATAAAGAAATTATTCCTTTGAAAAGTGTTTTTGGTATGAAATTCTACGGCACCATTTCTGTGGGCTCCTCCGCGAAGAAGTTCAAAGTCTTATTCGACACTGGTAGCGGCGATATGTGGCTTCCCAGTGAAGACACGTATGTGTGCGGCTCAAAGCAATGCTACAGCTCACAGAAAAGCACCAGTTCAACTCCGGATGGGCGTGAGTTCTCTGCAGATTATCTTAGCGGTTCTGTAGCGGGTGTTTTCGTAAAGGATACGGTCCGCCTTGGTTCGTTCTCCACCGAACAGATCTTTGCAAAAGTGAGCTATTTTTCGGGCTTGGATAATGTCTATCCTAATTCAAAGTGGGATGGAATGGTGGGGATGGCTTGGCCTTCCCTCTCCAAATATAAATTTAGGCCCACGATATTTTCACTGTTTGACGCTAACACGAACCTGGCAAAACAGTTTGCATTTTATCTGCCCAAGAATCCAAAGAAGGATGGTGAGCTTGTGATCGGTGGGTACAACAAGAAACGTTTTACAGGTGACCTTGTTCCTGTAAAGGTGACATCTCAGGCTTACTGGACGGTCGGTATCACTTCAGTAATAATTGGCAACACTGTCGTTAGTAACAAGGTTACGGGCATTCTTGATACATGCACTTCACTTATAATGCTCCCAAAAAATGCTTTTGATAAAATTGTCCAAAACACAGGCGCCGTAATGAACGGAGAAAGGTATACTGTAGACTGCGATATGGTGTCTCTTCTGCCAAAGTTAGAAATGGAAATTGGCGGCACGAAATGGATTTTCACTGGTGAAGATTATATCATTAGGTATATAAATAAAGCTTGCATCCTTGGAATGCTTCCAAAAGATTCTAAAGTTGTAGATAATCAAAATTGGATTATCGGAGAAGTATTTTTTCGGCATGTTTACACAGTTTTTGATGTCGATCAGTCCACAGTAAGTTTTGCTTATGTTAAATAGGTGAGCGAACATTAATATATAAATATCGAGGAGGGGAAAAGCAATCAAGCACTATACACATAGGAATAGTTTTAATTTTATAATATTGATAAAAATATTTTAAAAATACAATAACCCCCTCAAAGAGGTAACACTTTTTAAATATTTTTCCAAATAATGCAGAGAAATGAAATTCGATATCTATATATACATACATAGATATATTTACTTTGGATTTTTGGAAAAGGGTGAAACTTATTTATACGCATACAGGAGTATTTTAATAAAAATATTTCAATATATATATATATTATTATTATTATTATTGAATTACAGATTAATTTATATATGAATGGTAAATATCTTATCAATAAAATCATAAA